TTCTTTTTGCTTATGTGGTGCTGAGGAATCGAACCCAGGGCCTCATGCATGCAAGGCAAGCACTCTACCACTGAGCCACCTTCCCAGCCCCTCAATATTCTTTACTTAGCAACATTTTCTGTGTAGCATCTGCTAGATGTGGCAGAAAGGAACCCGGAAACAATCCTGTCTTTTGTTTGTTTTTAACACCTACTCTAGCTACTTTTCCTTCTTTCCCTCCATCCACCCTAATTTATGGAACTGTCAAACACAAATCCCCCTTTGGGTGATTTTGGTTCAAAGACCCAAATCATTTCCTAGATAATTCTATTTAAAAAAAAATACAACAAACATGAGCCAGACCCTGATAGCTCACGCCTGTCATCCTAACTGCTCAGGAGACCCAAGTCTGAGGATCGTGGTTCAAAGCTAGCCTGAATAGGGAAGTCCATGAAATAGATCTGTATGGTTCAAGTGATACAGCACCAGCCTTGAGTAAAATATCAGGCCCTGAGTTCAAGACCCAATACCAGCACAATAATCAAAACAAGCAAACATGGGAAATCTCTGCTAGTCTGTGTAGACGTCTCCTATCAAAATTCTCACACAAAGAGAGCAGATTGTTTTTTGGCCAGTCCTGGGGCTTGAACTCAGGGCCTGGGCACTGTCCCCTGAGCTGCTTTTGCTCAAGGCTAGTGCTCTACCACTTGAGCCACAGCACCAACCGATGGATTTTTCGGTTTCTGTGGCCCTGAGGAATCGAACCCAGGGCTTCATGCATGCTAGGCAAGCACTCTACCACTAAGCCACAATGCCAGCCCAGAAAGCAGATTCTTTACTAGTTTTTTAACACATGTTCTGACTTTCGGGGACACAGAGATCCATTTCTTTCCAACCAGAACTCCTGGAAATTCACAATCCCAGCAACAAACATTCCCCCCCCCCTCCAGTCAAAACCCACAACCCCCAGAGGTGCAGCTGACTCATGAAGCAAGCGGGAGACAGGGGAGCTATCAACCTCCTTTTCTACCATTTTGAATCAATGATCTTAAACTGAGAGAGAGAAGAGGGGAGGGGAGAAGGAAACAGAGCCTGTGGGTGGGGATCATGGGGGGGGGTGAGAGGCAAAAACTCTCCCACCTGACCACCATAGTAGCTCACTACATTAATCTAGGCAGAGGGGAAGAAATTCAATTCCCCGCTGCCTTTGGATGTCTCCCTGCACCCCCTCCCCAAATCCCACTGAAATCCCTTTCTTGGATGGGTAGCAGGGACCAAGAGGTAGCTCCTTCTTCTTCTTCTTTTCCTCCTCCTCCTCCTCCTCCCCCTCCTCCTCCCCCTCCTCCTTCTCCTTCTCCTCCTCCCCCTCCTCCCTCTCTCCCTCCTCCAGGGCTGAGCTGAACCTTTCCCAGTCCAGAGTCAAGAGTGGGCCCTGTCCACGTGTCCAGCCTGGGGCCAGTAGGTTTGAGAGACGCCGTAAGCCATCAACCCCCCCCCATACTGCACTTTGGAGGAATTGGAGGAGAGAGGGGCTGTGGGTCTTGGGACACCCCCTCCCCGACTCAGAACCTGCCAGTTCCCTCCCTCTGCCCCCCTTCCCCCCTTCACCACCCCAACACTTCCAGAGCACCCCTCTCTGGGGAAGGCTGGGGGGAAGGCCTCTCCCCCCACCCCTCCACCCCAACTTACCTGTCCTGAGAGCCCCAGCCAGGAGCAGGGCCCCCAACAGTGCGATGTGGACCCCGTGGTGAAAGCCAGCCATGGCTCTGGGGGGTGTCTTGGCTTCAGGGGGGGCGGTCAATCCCTGGCAGTTTGGCTGGGAGCTGGGGAGCCGTGGGCACCACCCAGGCTGGCGCCCCGCTGAGCCCCAGCCCCGCCTGGCCCGGCCCTGCCCAGCCTTGCTCACCAGCACGCAGGTGATTTCAGGCCCAGACTCCGCCCAGCAGCTCTGGCCTCTTCCTCCTGCTCCTCCTCCCCTTCCTGCCTCGGTCGCCACACCTGCTGCCCAGGTTGATCTTTGTCTCCTCCCTTCTGAGGTTGAAGGTCCTTGCTAGACCATGATCCCTGAGGAAAACCCTCTCTCTGCCCCCCTCTCCCCCCCCCTCCCCTATGCCAACCCCGGGCAGACCAGGGAGTTAAGCCTGGAAGCTCACTGCTGTCCGACTAGCTCCTTGGAAAGCTGAGATCTGAGCGTCCAGGTTTGAAGCCAGCCTGTCCAGGAAGAATCTGTGAGACTATTTTTTTGTTGGGAGGTGGTGGTGGTGGGATTTGAACTCAGGGCCTGGGTGCTATCCCTGAGCTCTTTTGCTCAAGGCGTACGCTCTACTACTTGAGCCACAGCTCCATTCCCAGCTTTTCTGGTGGTTCATGGGAGATAAGAGTCTCACGGGCTTTCCTGCCCCGGCTGGCTTTGAACCACGATCCTCAAATCTCAGCCTCCTGAGTAGCTGGGGTGACGGGCGGGAGCCACTGGTGCCTGGCTGGCTGGTTGTTCCCTTTAAGATAAGAGGAAGAAGGCCTTGCCCTTCTGAAGAGTTGTCTGCCTTCTACGTAAGATGGTTATCACAATGCTTTTTCCTGGAACCTAAGAGAAAGTAGCAGGACTTTCAGTTTGCTTCACAGGGCTTCATTCTAGAGGTAGAGATCTGGAGGACTATGGTTCAAAGCAGGCTGGGCCAAAAACCGGAGTGGAAAATATCCCCCATCTCAAGCAATAAAATAGGGTGGAGTGATGCATACCTGTCATCTCGGCCATGCAGGAGGCCAGAGGTATATGGCTCACATCTGTCAGGAGGCTGAGATCTGAGGATTGCGGTTCAAAGCCAGCCTGGGCAGAAAAGTCCCTGGGACTCCAATAAACCACTCAAAATCCAGAATTGGGCTGGGAAGGTGGCTCAGTGGTAGAGTGCTCGCCTAGCATGCATGAAGCCCTGGGTTCGAGTCCTCAGTACCACATAAACAGAAAAAGCCAGAAGTGGCGCTGTGGGCTCAAGTGGTAGAGTGCTAGCCTTGAGCAAAAAAGCTCAGGGACAGCGCCCAGGCCCTGAGTTCAAGCCCCAGGATTGAAGAAAGGAGAGAGAAAGAGAGAGAGAGAGAGAATTCAATCTGTGACTCAGTTAGCTGGTAGAGAACATTGAATGAGATCATACAAAGTGATTTCTGCTGCTTCTTCACCTTTCCCCAGATTGCAACATCCAAGAATCAGATGAACAAAGCCAGGGGGTGGAAAGAGAAAAAGCAAAACCGATTCTCCTCCTTGTTTAAGCTTGAACAACCAGTCCTCTTAAGTCAGCTGCCCCAGGGCTCTTCCCTGGAGCCCAAAGCTCTCTCTGATAGGATCCATGTCCACTTACTCACCCGCTTAGCTGTCTTGTTCCTTCCTTTGCTGCTTTTGGGGGGGGGGGAGAAATATGGCTCTGTGTGTGTGTGTGTGTGTGTGTGTGTGTGTGATTTCAGGGATGTCCTTCTTGTTAAAAAGAGAAATCAAGTCAGAAATCCACAGACTTCAACCTGACCCCTGAGCAGTTTGAAGCCAGCCCTGGCAAGCCTGTCCCAGAAACTCCAATAAATTACCTAAAAGCAAAGCAAAACCAAACCAAAAGATGGAAGTGGAGGTGTGGCTCAAGTGGTAGAGCGCTAGCCTTGAGCAAATGAAGCCCAGGGACAGCATCCAGGCTCTGAGTGCAAGCCCCAAGACTGACAAAAGATAAAAAATAAACATCTATATCCTCTTCCTCCTCCTTTTCTTCTTCCTCCTCTTCTTCCTCCTCCTCCTCACGTAGGAAGCAAATAGACAAGGCTTCCTAAGGCTTGACCCTCCTAACCAAGAGGCCTGTTGGAGATTTATACCAACCTCCCTGTATCTCAGAAGCTGGCCTCAGTTTCCCATCTTGTGTCTTACTCTAATATCAAATCAACTTTGTCTCTGCTCTCATTTCTCCGGCCCTATAATATTTTATTTTTGCTGTAGGGGCTGGGGCTTGAACTCTGGGCCTGGGCACCATCCCTCAGCTCTTCAGCTCAAGGCCAATGCTCTACCACTTGAGCCACAGAGCCACTTCCGTTTTTCTGAGTGGCTTATTGGAGAGTCTCACAGACTTTCCTGCCCAGGCTGGCTTTGAACCTGCGATCCTCAGATCTCAGCCTCCTGAATAGCTAGGATGACAGGCGGGAGCCACCAGCAAATCTGGCTTTCTACCTCTATTTTAGTTTTCCACAAATAACAGCCTACTGGTGCCTTGTTCCCCCCCCGCCCCCAGGGTATTTGGTTTGCTGTTTGCTGGTGGTTTTTGTTTTTCTGCACGACAAGCTTCCTGCTTATCTCTCCCTGTCCAACAGAGGCCTCAACATGGCTGTTTTTACAGCTGTGTGGGTGACAAAGCGCTTGCCCCGGCCTGCCTGCCCAGGCTTCAGATTGCTCACCTTGCAGTGTGGGTGGGGCTGGAAGCAGGTGGCCACTGAGGATTGGTCAGTGCAGGTGCTATTCATGGGGTGTGGGTGGGTACATGGCAGCAGTCTGGAAAGCCAGTCCCGCTCCATAGCACATCTAGTCGCTGGCTCATTTCACACCATCTGCTCAGGGTCAGTATTTCTTCACCAGCTTTGCTCCGTCAGAAAAAAAAAAAAAGTTCAAGGAGCTTGGGCATTGGTGGCTCACACCTGTCATCCTACCTCCTTAGTGTTAGGTTTTTAAAAAGAGGTGGCCGAGTAAGAACTGCACCATGCAGGGGTAGGTTTATTCATCCTTCAGGCTGAAACCAGGCCATCTTGGTCCTCCACGCGGTGGGGAAAGGCTTGGGGAAGAGAGAAAGCGAGAGAGCTGGGGAAAAGAACTAAGAGAGAGCTAGAAAAGAGAGAAAATAGCTAGAAAAGAGAAGAGCTAGAAAAGAGCAGAGAGAGAGAGAGAGCATCTGGGCCTGGGCTAGGCCTTATTATCTAGGGTATGGGCGGAGAAGGGTGTGGCCACATCAAATTCAGATGTGACCTCAACAGATGCAGAGGTGACCTCTTCCAGGTGTCCCAGTTGCCTAGGTAACGCAGGTACTGGGTGGAGACTTTGCTGCCAGGAGGGTGGAGTCTGCTGGCCATCCAGGAGCGGACCTTACACTTAGGAGGCTGAGATCTGAGGATCAAGGGTTCAAAGCCAGCCCAAGCAAGAAGGTCCAGGAGTCTATCTCCAATGAACCAACAGAAAACCAGAAGTGGAGCTCAAAATAGAAGAGTGCTAGCCTCATACAAAAAAAGAGTTCAGGCACAATGCCCAGGCCCCGAGTCCACACCCCAGAACTGGCACTCACTAATAATAGTATAGAATAATAATAATAATAATAATAATAATAATAATTTGACCACTGATGTATATCCAATCATTAAACACTCATAGCTTCTGATCACTTCTTGTTGCTTCTTTCTTTCTTTCTCTCTCTCTCTTACTGGTCCTGGGGCTTGAACTCAGGGACTGAGCACTGTCCCTGAGCCTCTTTGTGCTCAAGGCTAGTGCTCTACCACTTGAAACACAGCTCCACTTCGTGGTTTTTGGTGGTTCATTGGAGAGAAGAGTCGCACAGACTTTCCTGCCTGGGCTGGCTTTGAACCATGATCCTCAGATCTCAGCCTCCTGAGTGGTTAGGATGACGTGACTGTAATGTCCTGAGGATAATTCTGTTTTCAGGTTTAGAAAAAAAAATCTCTAGGCAGAAGAACATTTGCTCCTTGCAGGGAAAAACCTAGAAAGCATCGAAGTACCTAACAGCTCAGGGATGATGACCTGAAATGAAATGTGGCTGAACCACACTGTGCTACACTGCGCTCCCTCGATAAGAAAGAAAGGGAGCAGCCGGGTGCCGCTGGCTCACGCCTGTCATCCTAGCTACTCAGGAGGCTGAGATCTGAGGATCAGGGTTCAAAGCCAGCCTGGGCAGGAATGTCTGTGACACTCTTTTGTTTTTTTCTTTGTTGGTGATGGGGCCTGAACTCTGGGCCTGGGCACTGTCCCTCAGCTCTTCAGCTCAAGGCAAGCACTCTATTGCTTGAGCCACAGCACAAAAACCACTTCTGGTTTTTGGTGGTTCATTGGAGTTAAGAGTTTCATGGACTTTCTTTCCTGGGCTGGTTTCAAACCATGATCCTCAGATCTCAGCCTCCTGAGGAGCTAGGATGACAGGTGTGGGCTGTCAGCGCCCGGCAGTACTCATGTCCTTATCAGGACCAAGGTTCTAAGACGTTTCCCTCCTGTGCCTGAATTAAAATCCCTTCTCCCGGTGTCCATCCATGATGGTGCTCAATCTTGTCCGTTCTCCCCTGGGTGTGTGTTTGATAATGAACTCCATCCAAGCCCCATGGCTGCTCAGCGAGGGGAGCGGTGGCTAAGAACCAAGGGAACCAAAGAACTCAGGCCCAGGGCCAGGGGAGAGGAGGGAAGGATTTTCTCTTGCACCTCTCCCATCTGAGACAGCAAATGGGCGTCCGCTGAATTAGTGGAAGGTGGTGTGACTGACTCTCTCTCTCTCTCTCTCATTCTCTCCCCCCCCCGGGGGAACCTGACCAATGGGGATTGCCTGTCAAGTAAAGGGCCAATGAGAATCATCTAGCTCCAACACAGCCAATGAGGATGGCCCACCCACCCAGAACATGACCAATGAGGACCATCCATTCAGAACATGGCCAGTGAGGATCATCTGTTTAAAATATAGCCAAGAAGGATCATCCAACACAGGACTTGGCCAATGAGAATCATCCACCAGAAGACGCGGCCAATGAGGATTGCCCGCCTTGAACCTGGCCAGTGACAGCTAGGAGCAGTGCATGGCCCAGGGACCCCAGGGGCCAGCACTGAACCCCACTCCCTCGG